AGTTCTGATTTAGCCCAAACCAGGACAATTTACTAACACAAAGTTAAGGTCACATACTAGTGGACTAAGAGAAGCAATAAAATGATAAGTGAGCTGAGGTCCAGGTTTAAAAATTAAAACATGTTGTAACATTCTAAAAGGCGCAGAGATTCTGCTGCCATCAATGGTTCAACCTTGAAGAACACCTGTTTATAGAATATGTCTTCTTGTCATCTTAGCTAGTCACCAAGAAGACATATTCCTTCTGTTTACATAGAATGGTAGATGACAAAGAAATAAACAATTGCAGCTGATAGCAATGGCAGCTGAAGCTATTCTTCTTATGTCAGAACACATGTGAGAAGTTACTCAACCATACAAATTTGAATTTCAAACAGGGAAAGAACAGAGGCACAAAAGCACTATTCCATTTACTTTGAAGCGTTGGACACATTACACTATTACCAACATTTGAAACCTCTATACAGTGCACATAAAAAAGTGATGTTGAAAGAGTCAGCACAGAGTTTTGATTTTTACAAAGTACTTAATTCATCATAAAAGCAATGCAGCCTTTACAATAATCAGCAAAACAAAATATAAAATGAGTTGTCTGAAGATTTAGGTTTGAAAATAAAAAAAATTACAGAACAGTTGAAACTGTATACAGCACCACACTTCATTTTTAGATGGTTTCTTGAATGTAAGCCTATTAATAAAAGTTACAGTACCTTAGAATAACAAAGACAAGTTTTTAAAAGAATTTCCATGAAGAACCAATGATACATTTTACAACAGATCAGTTACACACTTCATTATTTTGCAACAAAAAAAGTTTTATAAACCTGAAAGTAAACATTTCTTAGCATGTAAAATGTTTTAGATAAGTCACAAACTAAATTATTCTATCATTTGTAAAAAAATAAGAACTTTTGCCATTCCACTAAGCAACTTTGCTTTTTCTGATTTCATTGCCCTAGACACAAAGGCCAAGTCTTCATTACGCACCATTGCACATGTTGTTTTGTCATACCTAGAAATACAAACTATACAATCAATAAAGCTTACCCTGACTATGTTGGGGTTTATGGCAATCATAATCTTCTGGATTAATTTTTGTGTCAAATATTGAAGTATATAGTTCATCGTCTTTATCATGGGAGAGATCTGTAAGGAATTTTTCCAGTAAAATTTCATTGAAATGTATTTAAAGAAGATCTAGCTTCACGTGTATCGTACTGCAAGATCTCACACATGAAAGTTATTTACTTGGATAAATTACATAACCACCATATTTCTAAGGAAATAAAGAAGAGGGAAGTGTAAGGTCTGTCTCATGAATAATCATGCTGTTTCATATGGCTGTGTTTTTAACAACTACTGCCCATACAGGACAAATAATTACATTCTAGAAGATACAGCCCAAGGTCCTGAAGTTCAAAAGCCTCTGCAGACATCATGTGTCAAGTCATCTAGAACTCCGAATGAGAATAAAGTATCCAGGTTTTCACAGCTTTTGTCTGCCTGTGTATGACTATTAGACTTCCAAGTGGCTTAGGTCAAGGGTGAGTCTAGAAAAAAAAGTGTTCAAACATCCTAACATGCAAGAGTTGTTTCAGTTACTCAAAGAAAAAATTCAGTCACGGTATTGACATACATCAACTGGAAGTATAAGATAGAGCACTAAATTGCAGTCTATACACTTAGCACTTACGGAAAAGGACTCGTACTGCAAAGAACCATATATATCACATATGAAATACGTGGGTCTTCACAATGAAAAAAACAGCCAACATCCTGCAATAATGAAGTTTCACGGACTCAATTGACAGTATGATTTTGTTACACAGAGCACAAGGGAATGAATTTAAGGCTGTTTAATTAACTCCTCATTTACATTTCTGCTATGAGCGTGTCAGAGGGTTTTTTTGTGCCTGAGAGGCTGGGACACCTAAGTTATTCGTGATTTTGTAGCCAGAACTTGTGTTTGATTTCACAGCCATATTAAAAGCTGTAATTAAATATTAAATAAATTAAATAGGGAAACTAAAGCTCTTTATTAAATTCAGGCTCTGAAAAACAAAATATCTGAATTTCATTCCATTTCAGTATCAACCAGGGCAGCTATCAGGGCACTCATTTAAATAAATAAATAAAACCTGAAAAGTAAGGCACTAGCATGTCACAGAAAATTCAAGGTAAAGATCAAGCTGGAGGAAAATATAAATCTAAACTACGCAGAGTTTTGCCGGTACAGTACACTAGAACCCATAAGATGAACATGATCTCTACAGCAAGGAGTTACCTTTGAAAGAAAAGAGGAACTGAAGCATGGAGTTCACTAACAACCATTGCGTCTTGCTTGCCTACTCTTTTTTTTCTTTTTTTTTTTACTATTTCCTGACATCTAGTGGAGACTTTTCATATATCATCCATATCAAATTCTATATTCTTCCCTTAATAACCCGAACTTTAGCATAGAAATAAAAGCAGGTTACCTTGTAATAAGTTTTGTTGAAATGTTTTAACCACACATTGCTACTGTTATCATGCACGTACTTCCAACATTCAAGCTGAGATTTTTGCTCAGCAATAACCATTCAGGCCTCAAATCCTTGTTCTCTCCCCAACAAGAAAAAAGACACAACGCACCACAATTCTGCTACCTTTCAAGCAAGAAACCCTTTCAGCCAAAGTATACAGATGAAGGACAGAATACAAAACATGCACATCACTCAGAACTCCAGCACCGAGACAGAGTATTCAAACAGCAAATGTTTTTAAATCACTCTCAAGCAGTTTTGACATGGTACGTTCTTGACAAATTTGGTCTGATTTTGTTGCCCCTGCCCCTTCCAATAAAGACATTGTGAGCAGACTGAGGACAGTTTGTTCCAGTGTCTCTCCCAGTAAGAGTCTAACCACAGAAAGAAAAAGGACATTTTAAAATACCTAGTATTTTCTTTTTCCAGGTCCCTGTGAGCATGCACATTCTCTGTGCGTTCTTGAAGAAAACTACCCATACTTCAGAACGTGCTTCACCCACTTGCTTTAGAACTCCAACAGAATTGTGTCCTTCTGACTCAGCAGAGAAAA